ATACCATTTGGCAACTGAAAAGTCCTTTTTATGCGTTTTTGCATTTGCACATATGACGACCCCGGTGTGTGTGTGTGTGTGTATGTGGTGTGCGCGCGCCTGTCCGGGTATTTCAACTCGGAAACCAAGCAAGCTCTGGCGCCAAAATTTTGCCAGTGAGTTCCACAACGAAATGTCACCGCAGGACCGCGGTACTAATCCTCATGCGCGTCTAGGCTCTGGTACGGGTGCGTGAAAGTTTTCTGCGGAAAATCGCTGATTCGGGGACCGGGAGAGCTGGAAGGTTGAAATTTTGAGGGGATGTTCTCTGATCAAGTACCACGTAGCTGCACAATTAACTTCCTGAACTTCGAGGACCAGTATGCTATAAATTCTAGCTAGTGATCTTACAACAACATGAAATACTGCAAAAATGCATGATCGCACGGTTATCAGTGATTTTGCTGTATGCTCTACCGTTCTTTATAATGTAATGCTTTTTCGTCAACAGTGTATTTAATAAAAGCTAAATTTAAGTTCCTCATTCCGTATATCACCGTTCCACTAAATTACTGTTCTCACAAAGATAGTAATACTTCGGTGTTAAATGTTCTGCGTCTGTCCGGGCGATTCGATCGACTGTGTAATTTTACTGCGATTTCAACCAGAAACATCTGTCCAGTAATCGGAGATATATTTTCCCACATGCGAAAAGGAAAGCAACAACCAAATAAACAAAGGTTGGATTTCCGAACGATGGCTCAAATGCAAATAAATAGCGGCGTGGCCGGCACCAGAATGCGATTTATGTAGAAATTTGATAAAACTGTTAAACCAGGGACATCTTTCTAAAACAGCAACTATATGCGCAGCAAAATTTGATGGCTGACATTAGGACTGTAAGCCTTGCAAAACCAAGAACTATATTTACAAAATTCCACCTTTACAAATGGTGAATCCGTAAAAAGTTGTAAATGAGTGGCTAATACCGGAGCACACACACATACCAAAAAAATAAATAGCAACGCGCACCAGACTAGCCGGTGCGACCATGCGTTTTGTGCAATTCAGCCCAT